CTTGGTATGTTTTCTCAGCTCCACCATATTTATTTGGCCGGTTGGAAGGTCTATTTATAAGCCCCACTGAGAAAGTAGCCGTTGGGGATGAAATCCAACTTTTTTGCTACTGATCGGACGCTGGAGTCGTCCTGATCGGACGCGTCTGGTCGTCCCGACCGTTGGAGCTGCGATCAACTGATCGGACGCTGCCAGCGTCCGGTCACTTGCCACCGGATGCGTCCGATCGCAGTTTCACCGCTCTGGAACCTCTCTGTACTCGACCGAACTTTGTTGTCCTACGTCCGGTCGATCTGCCGCCAGCGTCCGGTCCAGCGTCCGATCGCGCCTGTTGCCGAGCCCCTTGATCGGAGCGTCCGGTCACTTTCTTCCAGCGTCCGGTCCAGCGCCCGGTCACTTCTGTGAGCTCGTTTCTTCGCGATCTTGCGTACGGCTTGGTTCCTGTCTTCATGCTTGGACTTTGCTTGATATCTTGGGTCTTCTCTTATGCTCCTAGGGTCTTGCTTATGGTGTTGATCATTGGATCATCACGTCGCCTTCATCCAAGTCACGTCTTGCATCCTATTGAACTACAAAACAATCACTTGCAAGTTCATTAGTCCAATGTGATTGTGTTGGTCATCAAACACCAAAATCCAAAGTAAATAGGCCAAGGATCCATTTTCCTTACAACGGGAAACATGGTGCAGGGAAACGGGATAGCACGCGTGGGCGTCCGGACGCGGGAGTCTGTTCAGACGTTCGGTGCTAGCATCTCCGATACACTTTAGGTATCCATGTGTATGAGTATATATATGTATTATCCATACAAATATTATTGTATATAACTATATTCACACACACTTAGGTCCCTTTGGAATGTAGGATTTACACCTTGTTTTCTTGTGAAAATAAACTGATTCTTGTGCCTGCTTTTCCAAGGGCCCCTTAGTTTTTGGTTGTCGGGGACATATTTATAAGTGAAATATAAATCCGTATGAAGCAACTCAACTAGGGTATAGGTATATGCACTGCATTGCTCTAGGGGGTCATCTCATAGTTAAATTTGATTTAAATATGAAATTACCCTATCTATATGTCCTCCAACCATCTATATGACACATTATCATACCTGGTTTTGTAGAAAAAAATAAAAGTTAGAAATTTTGGGATTTGGGTTTTTTGTTGGAATTGTTATGGATGATGCATCTTTCCCTCATAATCTCAATGAACTAAAGAGGGATCCATATGAACAAATGTAACTTCTACGGATATATGGCTTCATGTTGAATGCAATTTAATTCAAATCTGTATCCTACAAAGTGGCAGCGATTTTGTTTCTCCCAAAAAAAGGTTTGTAGGGAGAAACTGATTCTTAATCTCAGATTCTCAGGTGAAATTGGTCCTTCTAGTTTCTAGTTTCTAGTAGATCCAGGAAACGTTTCTGATTCTAACTCAAAATCCTATAATCATGTATGTTTGGTAGGGATTCATTTGTTTTCGGAGAAAAATATGTTTAGATCATGGCTTCCAACATCATTGTCCCTACCAAAAGCATCCAAAGATATAAGATCTCAACTCACACTGACATTGGATCCTAGCTTGTAACATTTAATTTTATCGAACAAATCTTTTACTATAAATGCCACATATGATGGTGACACTCGTTACCCATTTGTAGAAGTTTATTAAAATAATATTACCCATGTATTGATCTTTTAAAAAAAAAAATCATGTACGTCTGCTTTATTTGTTTGGTGACTCGGTTGCTTCAACAAGTGAAGTTTATCTTTCTATTGTCTTTTTTAGGATGGTTGTAAACTTCTCCTCATTCTTACATGCTCAGCACGCCCTAAAGAAACAATTTCATCTTTAGTGGTCCTTTCCTGAAAATCCTGTAGAATCCACTAATCTTGCAATTTGGTAGCATGATTGGACCCTAGGATAAGAGAGTTGACTCAATTCAATTTGATTCTCTCTCTCTCTCTCTCTCTCTCTCTCTCTCTCTCTCTCTCTCCAAAAGGACGGGAAGAGATTTGCCAGAAACCTCATTTCAGTATACTACTACAAGATCAGTGACTCCGTCCATCAAGTTACCAAGGTTGCCGCATGTCGGTGGTCACGATTTCCACGCACGCACGAGTGGATCTATCTACGATCTGTGAGCAATGGTCCATGGCTCCATGCATGCGTGCGTACGCGTCACCTGTTCCAAGATTTGGATGTGGCGGCGTCGATCGATCGATGGACAGCACAGCAGCCGCCCTGGCCACAGTGGCCACCGGGGTCCCAGCCCCAGCCCCAGCCCCAGCCCAGCACACTAAAGCTAGCTGGCATTGGCAACTATCGAGCGCATGCATCGCAATCATCCGATGCCCGGATCGGAGCATGCAGCTCGTGCGGCGGATCCATGGATTAGGGAGATCGATGGCCGGCCGCTGGACCCGCCCCTGCCGGCTGGCCGTTCCTTGCCTGGGCTGCAGATCAGTATCAGCAGATTCAGCACCATGCTGTAACTGTAACAACTGCAAATCAGTGATTCAGAGATCCTCCACCTGACAAGCATGCATGCATGCAACCCTGCAATTAATCTGAGAATCTCTCTGAAGTCTGAACTAAAAGGGCCTGTTTAGTTCCCCAAAACACAAAAAAATTTATGCAGTATCCATCACATCGAATCTTGCGGCATATGCATAGAGTACTAAATATAGACGAAAAAAAAACTAATTGCACAGTTGGATGAGAAATCGCGAGACGAAACTTTCGAACCTAATTAGTCCATAATTAGACACTAATTACTAAATACAAACGAAAGTGCTACGGTAGCCAAAACCTAAAAAAAAATTTGATCTAAACGGGGCCTAATGCGTAGTAGTAGTAGTAGTAGTAGTGAAATTGTGGAGGGTGGACTTGAAGAATATCTGACAGTAGTGCACATACATGGGAGGCACTGGCACAGGCACTGTCAGGCAGCAATATCTGACTGACAGCGGTGAGACGACTGAAAACGATGCGAACATGATATGGCGGCAATGTCGTCGACACGTTTGACAACAACTTGCATGCAAGTGCCACTGCAGGTCTACTGCACAGTGTTCCACTTTTTCTTGATCAAGGTTTTTTTTACCGGTAGGAAAAAAAATTCGGTCCATGGCGATAAATATGAAATTTCGGAAATATCAGGTCAAATTTAAATAAATTCAAATTGATTTTTAAAAAAAATTGACAGCATTTCACTAGAAAAACTCTCTAATTCATCATCCATCACAAATTTATATGACATCGACGAAATAAACACAATATATCACCGTGGTAATACAATGGGCTAACGGTGGGCAAGCTGCATATGCTAGTGCCATCGAATGTGTGAGTGAGAAAATTAAATAAATTTGAAGAAATTTAGGGCTTTGATAAGATTAGAGGACATGGAGAGTCATTTTAGTGTGGTTTGGTTTAATTTTGGAGCAGAAGATGAATTTAACCGAAAAATTTTGACCGATGTAAAAAACTTTCGGGCCTCAGCGAAAAAGACGATATTTCGCCGAAATTGTAAACCCTGGATCCGATTGCATTGGGTCGTTAACAGCACAGCTAGCACCAACAGTGAATTGACAACAAATGGTTTATGTTCATCAACAACAACAACAACACAGCCTTTAAGTCCCAAACAAGTTGGGGTAGGCTAGAGTTAAAACCCAACAGAAGCAATCAAGGTTTAGTCACATGAATAGCTGTTTTTCAAGCACTCCTATCTAAGGCTAAGTCTTTGGGTATATTTCATTCTTTCAAGTCTTCTTTTATTGTCTCTACCCAAGTCAACTTCGGTCTTCCTCTGTCTCTCTTCACGTTACTATCCTGGCTTAGGATTCCACTACGCACCGGTGCCTCTGGAGGTCTCCGTTGGACATGTCCAAATCATCTCAACCGGTGTTGGACAAGCTTTTCTTCAATTGGTGCTGCCCCTAATTTATCACGTATATCATCGTTCCGAACTCGATCCCTTCTTGTATGACAGCAAATTCAACGCAACATACGCATTTCCGCGACACTTATCTGTTGAACATGTCGTCTTTTCGTAGGCCAACGAGGAAAAGAAAAGGAGCTGGCAAATGGCTAACCATGCATATATGGTTCACAGTGTCCTGAATCCCCAGACAAACATGCATGATCGATCAAGCATGATGAATGAAACATATGCACCGTATATCATGGCTAGTTGGGAGGATAACATATATAATAGAGACATGAGACAGTGATGATCCCATTATTCAGTTAAACAAAACAAAGTGGACTCCTTCCTTTCAGCACAAGCAAAGGCAGCAGCTCCGTAGTGCTCCGGTAATCAACACTTTAGGTTTTGCATAATAAACAAATTAGTAATAAGATACTAAGATCAGACTTGGAAGGAAGCGAGATATCGTAGTGAGGGGATCGAAAAGGAAGACCTCAAGCACAAGAAGAAGAAGAAAAAAATGCAGAATCACCTCCCCGGCCCTTGTGATTCATCAGTCAGCAACACAAATTCCAAACAAGAAGCTAGCATAGGACAGTAGGTACCAAATAAGAGTATATATATAAGATGCATGTTCATTCATTTCTATTTGTATTTCTATATGGAAGTAACATAGAAATCACTCGACTTTATATATACACAGCTAGCACTGCACAGACATATACAAATCACCAGTTACAACTTACAAGCACCATATACCAACGATCAAACACATATGTTACATCGATCACACAATAAAATTCTTCACTGAAAACCATCCAAGAACAAATAAAGAGGAGAAAAAGAAAAGGAGAGGGAAGAAACAAAAATAAAAATCGGTTCATATATGGTTGATGAATATAATGCACCTACTATACCAATCATTTCAATGCCCCCCATGATCGTCTCACCTCATGCTGCACCCACCTGCTAGCTCTCGCATGTGCAGAGATCGAACAGCTAGCAAGCGCGTCCACCTCCACCACCACCCGGGCCGGCCGGCCTGCCGGCCGGCGATTCATCATTGAATTCAGCCGGAGGAGGTGGTGGAGGAGCAGTCGCGGTCGTCGGTCTCCACCTCACGCCTGTGGAAGCTGCGGTGGCACCCGCAGGCGGCGCACATGAGCGCGGCCGCCGTGCCGTCCGCGCCCGACGCCATGAACTCGCGGCACCCATCCACGGCGTGCCCGCCGATGGACGCCGCGTGGTTCCGCTGGCACTCCCGGTAGTGCACCACCTTCGCGGCCTCCTTGCTCCTCGCCGCCGTCCCGTTCGCCATGGACCGCCGATCTTGCGGAGGCCCCATATAATTTTAAAGTCGTCCTTGGTGATGCTATGGGTTTGATCGATCGAGGTGGAAGATCAGAGTATATAGGAAGAAGAAGAGATGCTCTATTGCAATCACGGCCTTGGAGTTGGAGGGTGTGGGACTTTTTATATGGGAGAGGAGGAGGGTGAGCTAGCTGCTAAGTAGTGAGGATCACGGGTTAAGAACCAACCTTTCTTTTCTTGTTAGAGTAGTGAGGACCTGCTGTCCTGGCGCACGGTCTTTTGTTTTTGGAAGACATACCGAAATGTCAACGCTTTCACTCTTTCGCTGTATTTTGTCAGTTTCAGTTTCAGGTGTCACTAATTTACACGCAATTTATGTATTTGCCTTTTTAAATAAAGATATGTATTGTGAGTCATGAAGTAATCCAATATCCTTGTTAAGAATCACGCGTTAGGACTTAGGAATTCACTATCCCGTGCGAGATCGTGCTTCTTCATGGCCATGTGTGTTAATTGTTACTTGTTAGGGATCTTTTATTTGTTTACATGTCTTACTTTATTTCCAAGTGGATTATGAGTCACCAAGCATGATCGGGATATATACTACTTTTATTCATGAATCACGCACTCGCGGTAATTTTTTTAATTAGCTCTACACCTTGTCTGTGCACAGTTCCAAAATAGTTATGCATGCGTGCACTCTTGTTTATTCTACTTTTGTTCCCAGATGGATTTTGACTTTTGAGGGAGTCATGTTAGTAATCCAATGGTACTTGATGAATCACAAGCTATGGCCAAACAGTGAAATTTCTTGGTTTAAACAACACTAGTGGTCTAGTGCATACTGATTTAGTGATTTTATCCTTAAAAACAATTGGAAGTTTGCACGGTTATACTATTCTTATGCCTGCTTATTGTGGATTAATCTTCTTGCTGATGACTGATGAGTGACAGAGTGAGTATGTTGGCACACTGTGCATATGAACTAGGCTGGTCGTTATTTCTGTTGGCAGTGCTAAATTATTTTTACTAACAAGTAACAAAAGGCTATATGCATCTTGTGGTGTTGCTACCAGAAGAGAGTACTGAAGGTGGCAGTTTGATGACTAGTATATATATATTATTATATTATTTGTCAAAGACCAGCATGGCCAACTAACCAACATTTTTAGTAATAGTAGGCCCATCAGTGGACAAGATTAGATCTGAATTGACTTGACAGAACGTCTGAGGTGTCTTGGATAGATTGACAGTTTGACGCTCATATATGTTTAGCTGCTAATATATGAAGAGAAAGGTTTCCGTTTACCGACACCGACATCTTGACAAGGAAACATGAAAAGAAAGGGAAATTGCACATCCAATTTGGTCAGATTTAGGAGATCCAGAGAATTGTGTAGGAGCACAGTTATACACAGAGCAAAAAGAAGAAACCCAGGCATAGACATGAGAGAAAGATGTTCCTTTGGATGCACATCTGAGTTGAGGTTGGACAGAGAAGCACTCCTCTCCAATTGACTCTTCTTCATTTCGTCCTCCAGCTTCTACGCTTGCACACTTGCTTGCACCACCTTCTTCCCTCTATTTTCTTCCTGATTGACATCTGACCAGTTGAACTGTTCAATTTATTGCTCATGTGCTCCAGTTCATCAGGTCACCATTGGTCAATGATGTTGTGGTGTTGTATAGCTGTGTGATATGAACAGCTTACTTGAATGCATGCAGCAAGTGCAATGCATTCCTGGAGGTAGCTACAGCATTTGTGGGGGTATGGCCTGGCCACCATTACTTCTTCAGAGTTCAGGTTTTGTGCCTATTTGGCCACATTTGAACCTGTGATATGCATGCGTGTCTGATTTGTCCAAACCTAAGCCAATGTAGCTAGGAACTTTAGGCAGATTTATTCCATACAGGGTAAATGGACATGAAACAAATGCATTGTAGCTAGGGTGATGACCATCTTCAAGACTGAGGCTGGAATGAGTAAGTGAAAGATGCATGATATCTTCTTTGTCGGCGTTGAGAGATCAGGAAAAAAAAGATTTACCACAACACGGTTGAATTGACTAGACCGATAGAGTAGAGTTGATTCAACGTTGGTGACAAAGATACAGAATGGTCGTTTTCGGTAGCCAAACTTGACTTCTGTGGCGGAATCGGTGTTGAAAATAAAAACATGTTTTGTTCTCTCAGAAAGAATAAAAAATGAGCATATATTCACCTCACAAATGCTGTACTGAAAAAAAGATGGTATAAATTCCTACTCTGCTTAACAACTTTCCCATATGAAATGGGAACATATCCAGGTAGGGGACGCCATTATTCTTATTCACCTCCTCTCCTAATAGCTATGGAATTTGAAGAAAACAAAAAGAAAAGCTAAATCGGGGGATGCCATTATTCTTGTTCATCTCCTAATATCTATAGAATTGGAAAAGGAAAAAAAGAAAAGCTAAATTGGTTTCAGTTTGAAACAATAATCCAACTGCATCAGTTAAGTTGTTCACCTGTACAGAGTACAGCTGTAAGTCTAAGCATTACTTATTTGTACTTGCAATATGATATCACAGGGAATGAATCATGGTAAATGTTTCTCAGGATCCTGACAACAGTGCAAATTCTTTAATTTCCCAATACACATCATCAGAAAACTGATGGTGACTTATTAGGTGCTAGTATATGATGTCCTTTTTCCTTAATATACAGTGAAAACTTTACTATCTCCATTGTCTAAAACTAATGTACAGGTAAAAATGGCGAAATTGTTTCTGGACCACGGTATTTGATTGAACTACTTTTTTTAGTATATATGTTTAACTGAAGTACTTTATTTGATCATAGAAATTCCTAGCCCTCCTACATAGATCTTGGGCTCTGAGTGCCAACCAGATCCGACATGTCAGAATCACTGTCCCATAATCTTTCTCCAAAGCTTTTAATTTGTTTTAAAATAAGCAATGACGATTGATTGTACTAGTCTTCTTAGGAATCACAGTACATCACTTAATAAGAGTTAAGACCAACTCCCTTGACAAGTTGGATGATGCAGGCAGGAATGCTTTTATTCCGTAGTCTAAAACAAAAACTCCATTGACAAGTGGATATATGGACTTTTGTCAACCTAACAAACTGGAGTTCAATCATTTCTCAGTTATCAGCCTTATTCACTAAGATCAAAATTTTGACATAAAGAGAACTCTTAATTGGTGTCATCATCATTAATTAGAAGCACACAATCAATGGTACAATGAACGAACATACTATAATGATGACAGAATACAGTGGATGGGATCAAGCGCACGAGTAGCGTTTAAACGAAATGTTGAAAAAGTAAGCCAAGTACACAGTGGATGGGATGAAATGCTTTGGCAATTGGCAAGTACTCCTACTGGCTATCTAGTACTAGTACTACACTTAGTAAACCAGGGGGTCAATTTGTTTGACCTGATGATTTGAATTGAATTCCCAGAGCAAGTACTAGCTGGTGGATAATGTGATCAACACAGTTGTCGGGGACCTAATACCAGGGTACCCCAGAAGGTGGAACCGATGACCACCGAACGTGAAAAAACTTCTAGATGCATAAGGGCTCCATGTCATCCCTTGTTCGAGTGACAGGAGTTCGGTTCCGCCTCGCCCGACGCCTTGAGGGCGGGCTCGGTCTCGCCCGAGGGCTGAGGGATGAATTCCGTCTCGCCCGACCCCGGAGGGGCGGGTCGACCTGCCGACGCCTTGGTAGGATAACCTGCCTCGCCCCAAAAGCTCAAGGCTAATCTCCGTCTCGCCCGACGCCTATAGGGCGGGCTCGGTCTCGCCCGAGGGCCGAGGGATAAACTCCGCCTCGCCCGACGCCTTGAGGGCGGGCTCGGTCTCGCCCGAGGGCTGAGGGACGAATTCCGTCTCGCCCGACCCGAGGGGCGGGTCACCCTCACCGACGGCCCAAGCGAGCCTCGCCTCGATCGATATCTATCCCTCATAATGATGGGTACAGGGCCGAGACAAGACGTTGGGGTCAACCATGGCTCCAACGACCATACCTGCGCCTGGCGAGAAAAAGACTGCCGAGGAACAGCAGGACTAAAGCTTTAGACCCTTCCGCGCGCGCAGAGCCCAAAGGTATTACAGTGCGTGCACCTCACCTGTAGAGTTGTAGGCGCCGCCTTCACTCTGGGACACGAACCCGACGAAGATATCGACAACCGCTACACGATCCAGAAAGGATTTGCTATCTCCACGAACGATGGGTATTCCGTCACCACACGGTGGACCCGAGGGCGGCGCCCGCTTCCCGACCCCTCGTGTCCTCCCGTCGGAAGGCCTTGACCACGGCGTTACACCGACCCCGACCCCGCCTTCTCCCAACGAGGACTCATGAGAACCGTATAAGCGTGCGGAGCAAGGCTGGGGAGGCTCATAAGTCAAAACCATCATCTTGCAGCCCATACCTGCAGCGAGGCAAAGATTCTCGTGACTAACCCGACATCCTGCAGAGACATCGACAACATTGTAAACACTTATCTTCCTTCGCACTCATCGAGTGGAGGACCTCGACCGTGAGCGTGAGCCACAAGACTAAATAGAGTACGCGTCCCGGAGCCCTTACCCTTGTAAAGCCGGCCCCTTCATCTATAAAAGGGATGCGCTTCTTCCATCGAAGGACGGAAGAAAAGGAGGACAAAACAATAGAACGCACTCACACACATTCAAGCAGCACGAAGCTCTTGACCACCTTTCAATCCTTCGATCGAGACTTGGGACCAGTCCCTCTCTCGGCGGTTTGTATCCCTTACTACGAGATCGTTACGGTGCTAATAACACAAGCAACAACAAAGCCGGGCGTAGGGACGTTTCGCCCGAACCAATATAAATCCTGTGTCCTTTAGCGCACCATCCGAGCCTAACGCGCATTACTATAAATTCACTTGCCGGTGCTTGTACGAAACACCGACAGTTGGCGCGCCAGGTAGGGGCTTTGCGCGTTCCAAACCAGGTCTCGGATGACCACCC